GACCCTCCTTTAGCCCTAGGCTTGTTTAATAGTAACTGGTTTTATGAACCATAACCCTTTTATATTTTTATGGAAGAGGTTTCCACCACCTCTTTCCGCAGCTCATTGCCTCAGTTGGAGCTCAGTCGTTCACCATTCTGCATGCAGCTCAGCTGATGTGGTGAAAAACCTCCTGTGAGTTAAGGGGATGGAGGTCAGGAGGGGATGGGAACCTGATGAAGTGCGAGATCACAAAAGTGGCTGTGCAACAAGAAAGCAAATGTCCTTTTTGACCCAAATCCCACCTCCTGCTGCGGCCAAAAGCTGATGCCTAGGCAGGAGTATAAGAAGAGAGGGTAAGTGTTTCCTCCAGATATCAGCTTTGAACAATTTGTCTCTCAGGGACTTTGCGGAGCCAGAGGTGTTTCCTCTTTGCATTAGATAAATCTTGGTGGACTTTCCTTCTGTGTACCTATCGAGCCTTCATTTGAACCCTCTTGACCTTCTGGCATCCACAGCAGCCTGGGCTAAGGAGTTTCACAGCTTAATCACAACATCCACTGGCGAAGGAGCTGAAAGTTCCTCCATCAGGAACAGATCTTCTTTAGATCTCAGCTGTGCAAAGTGCTGAATCAACAATTTGTGTGGACACCCTTTGAATGGGCCAGAAATCCCCACCTAGAAGGTGGGAACATCAATAGTTCTTTTAAGGTCTTTTTTCAAACTACTGTTGGTTGCATTTCCAAGGCGAAATTAACAGCCGTGTCAGAATCTACTACAAATGAATACAACAAATCCGGAAACACAATGCCAATGAACCAGAATGAGTTTTTAGCTCTAAGATATCTGATTTAACTTTTTTTTTGAGAGAGGAACTTAGCTTAGGGTTATCCCTTTGCATTTACATATATCTAGTGCTTCGAATGCTCTGGGTCATCATTACATACAGACAGAAAGGGGCTGAACATATATGGAACTATTATTTCAGAAAAGCTGAAAAAGAAGCCATACAGCTGTCTCAGTTTTGGGGTGCCCACGTGAATTTGACATGTAAGCCTCTAAAGACCAACAAAACCATGAAGCCGTAGTAACAGAGGGGGGGTTGGGAGCGATGTGGGAAAACCTAGGGGATACCATATTTATGTCTGAGTAAGAAGCCTGAATTGCTCTCATTAAAAGAAAAATTCCCCACAGACAGGATTGTTAAGACTATTCTTATTTGACATGGTTATTAATGAGGAGGAGGAGGGAGCAAATTACACATTAATGAACTTCACAGACAATAATACTCTGGGAAGATCTGAGGGCTCCAGTGAGGACAGATCATTGGCCAAGTGGAGTGCAACGCTATCATTATGTTGACAAAATGCTGAAACCTCTGAACATCGTATCCAATCCTTTCCAAAACCACCAACCTCACGGGGCAGACACCTTGCGTATCAGTGAATTCAGGAAGATAAAAAAGCCTGTTTTCCTCTAAATTCACTGCCTGGCCATTGCAGAACGTGACATGAGGTGACCTGCATGTCTGGGGTTTAGGGTGATGATGAATGGGTATTTTACTTCACCCAGCCAGTTCTTCCTCTCCACCCTCTAGGCTCCACCTGGGTTCTTTGCTTCATACCCCTGGCCAGTGTCCCATAGATACACTCCCACCGAGAACCATCCTTCAGGCTGACTCTGAAACACCCCCCTCTTTCTGCCAACACTCAGGTTTCACTGCAAAAAATGAAAAGCCAAATCCCTACTAAAATCAGGCATTTTGGTGGTGTCACCAAAATCTGTAAGGTATAGAATGAAGTGGGAATACGAGAGGCTCAGTCATAGCTGGGACATGCAAACTACAGAATCATAAAATGGTTGAGGTTGGAAGTGACCTCTGGACATCATCCAGTCCAACCACTCTGCTCACGCAGGGTCAGCTAGAGCACGTTGTCCAGGACCATGTCCAGTTGGGTGTTGAATATCTCTACAGATGGACACTCCATAACCTGTCTAGGCAACCTGTTCCAATGTTTGACCACCCTCACAGTAAAAAATCAATAATAAACAAATAAAATTATTGTATTCAGATTGAGTTCCATGTTTTTTTAATTTGTGCCCATTGCCTCTTGTCCTGTTAGTAGGCACCACTGGGAAGAGCCTGGGCTCCTCCTCTTCATTCCCTCCCATCAGGTATTTATACACATTGGGAAGTTCTTCCCGGAGCCTTCTCTGCTGCAGGTTGAACAGTCCCGGCTCTCTCAGCCTCTCCTCACATGACAGATGCTCCAGTCCCTTCATCATCTTCATGGTCTTCTGCCGGACTCTGTTTGGGAAGCACCCGCGCCAGAGGAGATGGCTCCCCGACAGCTCTTTTCCCCAGGTGTAGGGCATCGCTGCGTGGTATGGACATGCCTAAAGCCAACCCGGTGACTTTGGGACGGTCAGGACTGAAGGCTGCCGGAGTCGGAGGTGTTATCTCAGTAGAGCTGCGGCAGGAGCAGAGCAAGGGCATCGTCTGGAAGGCAGCACCATGCGGAGGTGAATACAGCAGAGAGCTCCCTGTTCTAACTGCTGCCCATGCAGCGACAGAACCTGTAGCTTGGGTGGCTGTAAGGAAGCAGGGAACATCGGAGGGAAAACTCCCAGGCAGGGGTGCTGGAGGTCCCAAGCAAGAGGGAGGAGAGGGATTTGGGAGGCAGTGCCCTCCTAACAGGGAGCAAGCACCGTGACAGCGCTGCCTCTAATTCTGCTCACCTTGGCTCCAGAATCAAGGAAGGGCTGAGAGTTGACAGCAAAGGCAACAGCCCTCCCTGCTGCTGGGCAAGCTGGAATAAAGCCGCGGTTGCCATAGAGTGCGGCTGAACCGCCTGGGAGGGTGCAGGGGAGAGGACCGTAGAGCGTCCTGAGCAGCGGGACACCTCCTCTGCATCTTAGCCGAGTAACAGAATGAGACAAGTGCGGTTGGGTGAACGCCAGAAAGGTCCTGACATTTCAGAAATCCTTTGCTGTTTTGCCTTTAATCAATCTGTACTAAGCCTCAAATGTGAAAAGAAGTGCTTAGGGCAAAGGTGAATTTCATATTAAGAGTAAATTGCTCTGACGCTTGTCAATTTGTCGAGACTTTTACAGCAAGGAAATGGTATTATTTCCCAGGCTCCTGCCATGGTCCTAAAGGTCACACCTCATGACACAACTCTCTTCCTTTCTCTCGAGCTGTTGTTCATACAAGAAAAGCCACAAGCATAAAGATGTTGCTGCTGCTTTTTGGTACCAGGTAAAAAAGTCTCAACAATCTAGGTTGTTACATGTTCTTGGAGCTTTATTGTAAAGGTGGAATGAAAATGGACTGTGAAAAGCTCACTGCCACTTTACATGAATATTATTATTTCACACATGCATTAATCTCCCTTCCCTTCACGTTCCTTCACAAACCAGCCCCATCATTTCTAAGTGAGAACTTCTACCACACGTTCACAATGAAGGCTCTCCAAATAAATGGCAAATACTTTTCATAAAACACACTACAACTACAGTTTTATGAAGACTGCTGTAACGGAGAAAGGCATGTCCTCACCAGGCATTAAATCAAGAACAGCAAGATTTGTGTAGGTCCAGAACTGAACTCTAGAGGCACCTACACAAAAGTCTCACACCAAATTTGCTTTTTTTCAACTACCAGCAGATATGCTATGAAGTATAATTACAGAATATTCCACAGCTGAGGTATGTCAGCATTTAGGGGTCCTGCATGAATTGACAGAGTTTAAGCAGGGTGGGTACAGCTTCCCAGGCACAGGGCTGACGCTGTTCAATGAAGGTGCAAACCCACTGAGCGCAGACTGTAACTTAGCTGTGCTCTTCTGATGAAACTGGATCAGAGCTAAGCTGCCGCACGGAGAATGCCACAAAACCCAGAACCACCTCGCTAGCGTGGACCCACAGCAGCCTTCTGGCCAAGCCCGTAGGGGCTAGCGTGTTGCCTTGGTCTAACCAAGGGTCCAGGGGCAATACCTCTTTCCCCCTCCCCTTCCAAACTACGACCAGAGCTGCTGCACCTCATGAGGAACACCACCCGCTCTGCCTAGCACCCATCTCCCCAGTCCTGCGCCCACTCGCTGCGAGCAACCCAGCCGCCCCAGGCACCTCCGCGCTGCTTCCCTGACACCCCGCAGAGACCCCTCACAGACCCCCTCAAGTCCTCTCACACACACATGCCCCCTCACACCCCACCTCACAGACCCCCAGCAGTGCTGTCACACACCCCTCACAGACCACTCACATACCCCTCACAGACCTCCTCAAGTCCTCACACACACACACACACACACCTCACCCCCCACCTCAGGCCCCCCTCGCTAACCCCTCACAGACCCTCTGCAGTGCTGTCACACACTCCTCACGCCCCCCTCGCAGAGCCCCGGCAGTGCTGTCTCACACCCCTCACAGACCTCCTCAAGTCCTCTCACACATACCCCCTCACACCCCACCTCAGGTCCCCCTCACAGAGCCCCGGCAGTGCTGTCTCACACCCCTCACAAACCTCCTCAAGTCCTCTCACACATACCCCCTCACACCCCACCTCAGGTCCCCCTCACAGAGCCCCGGCAGTGCTGTCACGCACCCCTCACAGACCCCTCACACACCCCCTCAAGTCCTCTCACACACGCCCCCCCTCTCTTCCCCGCTGACGGCCAATAACAACCAGAGGAACGGTCGAGCCTCCCTTCCTCCCCCCCTCCCAATTCCCCCGCTATTTAAACCGGGAAGGTGCGCGTGCGCCGACGCCCGTTAACGGCACCACGCCGGCCGCTGCGTTTCCGCTTCCCTGGCGGGCGCGCCCTCCTCCCCGGGCGGGCCCCTCCCCGGCGCCTGCGCATGAGCGCCGCCTCGCGCCTCCCGCCCTTTCCTCCTCCTCCTCTTCCTCATCTTCCTCCTCCTCCTCCTCGGCGAGGGCCCGGCCGTTGTTCCCCGCCCCGGGCCGGGGATGCGCTGCTCGGCGGTCCCTCGTAGGAGCTACTCGGCGGGCGGGGAGAGGGATGGAGGTGGAGGAGGCGTTCCCGCTGGTGGGGCAGATGGGGCCCTACCAGGTGTATCTGTGCGTCCTGCTGGCCGTGCTCCTCCAGGTGAGAGGCCGCCTCCCCTCCCGACCCTTTTCCCAAGTTCTGTGAGGGAGGCAGTGTCGGTGGGGGTGTGTGTGGTGTGTGTGCGCCCACCCCGGAGTGTGGGTGCTGTGGGCGGTTGTCCCCTCAGGTGGTTGGGTGGAGGTGCCTGGTGTGAAGGTTGGTGTCGGAGGTCTTCTGCTGGGGGCTGTAAATTGGTTTTCTGCTCTGGGTTTAGCCTTGCAGCAGTTTGCTGTGCTCCTGGGGAAAAGGTGACCTCCCGTCCAAAGGCGGAGCGAACTTCTGCGGGGTGGATTTGGGGCAGATGGCTTGATGCGATCGGAGAAGTTGTGCCTTGTGTCGCTCGGTGAGCAAATTGGGAGTATGCGGTTTGTCAGGTGAAGGGCTGGTTGAGGTGAAGTTAAACGGGGATTTCCATGAGCTGCACTGGAAGACAGTGACTTCTGTCAGACTCTGCTGGGAATCCTACACAACCTACAGTTAATGGCCCAGGCTAGTGATCTCTAGGTTGTGTGTGGCTTGTTTGTGGTGGAAGTGTTTGAAAAGCTGCAGCTGGTCACTGATACCTCTGTGTGCAGAAGCTCTCATCAAATCAGCTGACAGGCCATGACTGCTTATGGTACTATGATTTACCTTAACTCTTAGAATGTAGGGGCAGTGTCTCTACATTAGGTATTTGGACAAGGCTCTACATTTGTGGCAAGGGAGATTTAGGCTAGATATTAGGAAAAATTTATTTACTTAGAGGGTTGTCAGACATTGGAATAGGCTGCCCAGGGAAGTGGTTGAGTCACTATCCCTGGAGGTATTAAAAAAGTGAGTAGATGGGGTACTCCAGAACATGGTTTAGTGGGCATGGATGATGGTTGGACTCGATCTTGAAGGTCTTTTCCAACCTAAATGATTCTATGATTTTGGGTAGTCAGGTTTGTATTCTGAGATACAAACCTGCAACTCTCACGTTTCGTGATGAAAATGGAGTCCAAAGTAACAGTGGAGTGCTATAATACCGTTCAGAGACTGCATGACCAAGTGATGTGTTCTGTAATGAGGTTTGTAGTCTTTACCTCCAGCTTTGCTTCATCCTTGTGCCTATTCCTATGGGAGTGGGGAGGGGAGATGAGGACAATATGTGCACCTTCACAATTAGACCTAGGCATATAGTTTGAATCTGGCGGAAGTTTGGTTTACTCCACGTTAACGCTTCAAAAACTTAATTGTAGTGAATTCAGCTAGGCTGACAAATGCTGGCTTATGGCCATTGTGGAAACTTACCAGCTGCAGGAGGGAAGAGGGGAACTTAAGTGTCCTCCTGCTTCTGCTGGCCACTATTTTGTAGTAATCAAGAACTTCCAGTCATGAGCCATGAGACCAAAGATGTCTTCTCCTGGCAGCTAGGGGAATGACAGAAGTATTAAGAAGCTTTGTGAGATGACCAAAGACAATTCAGATGCCCAGTCCTGTCAGTTGGGAATTCTGTACTTGGTTGCAAAGCTATTTAGCTGATTAATCCTTTAAAATTGGATATTGCTTAGAGCTTGTTCTACTGGCTGACTGGCTGGAAAATTTGTATGCTCACTGAAGACGAGGGATTAAGGAAGCAATAGTTATTTTCTTCCAGTGCTGGTCATGTTCTGGAATGAACTGCAATGGTGACAAGCGCTCTGTATTCCCTGAGTTTTAAGTAGTATGGGTCAGCTGTTCTGTAATGCTTTTGTTTGTTTGTTTTCTTTTTAATGGATTAACTTGCGTTTCTCATGGGTGAAGTAAACAGGAAGATCTTTACAAATCCTGGAACTGATTCAGAGTAACTAAAGAAAAAAAGGTACCAGGTTTGCAGCTCTTTTTTTTTTTTTTCTTCTCATGTTTTCTTAATTCTTGAACTTCACCAGTGAGCATCATCCCCTGACTGATATATTTTCTTTGCTTCAGATCATGCAGGCGCAGGAGGTTGTAAAGGATTTAGATGTGAAGCTTGTTGTCTTTCAGTTTGTGAATAGATGTAGACTTACACAACTGGTTACTGCTTGGGTGGTTGATTGCTCTCTGTGTTCCTTTATTGGTGCCAAGTTACGTAATGTGTCACTGGGATGTTAAGAGCAAGACTGAAGGCAGGTTCCACGACTGGTGTTAAGTCTTTTGTCTGGTTTATCGTCAGTCTTTGGAGGATGGACCAAAAGGTAAGTAATGTATCTGGTGTGTGTGATGTAGAATTAGGTAGTCATGGACTCCTTTAGTGGATTAGATGCGGCCAGACACTGCAGAATGAGAAGTCCTGTTAGTTTATGTCACTGGCTTTGCCGTGGACTCGTTATTCCATTTTATTGCTTATTTCCCTGTCCCTTCCCATGTGCTCCCTCAGTTGGCTTGTATTTTCACATAGGCCTATTGGTATAAAAAAATATTCCTATGTTCTTAAAGATAAGAATACCACATGGGTGAAACCTATTTTTGTCTTTGCTCTGTCAAGTCCTTTCATCTCTGATGCTAATGTACTGTGCTTAAACTTTCTGCTTTCCCTGCCCTGTAAGATTCCCAGCAGGTGTTCTTGCTTTCCTTGTAGGCTTTTGTGCTTTTTCATCTCTGCAAGTTTCTAATCTCTTGAGCTTCATACTTTATATGTATTTTCCCCTCATCTTAGTGTTTTTCTTCTCATAAATTTCTACAGTAAACTACTTCTACCATGTAGCCTTACTGATATGCCAATGTATCTGTCTCTGAATTCTAAATACAAACATAGTTTAGCTCACAGAACTTTTGAGGCAAGTTGTACCAAACACTTATGTTGGTATGGGTGAGACTTTCCACATGATAGTCAATTTTCATGTCGGCTTGAGTGACCTGTGGAATGAGCTTACTGACACTCTGGCAAAAAAACCTCCAGGTTGCTTGTAGTCAGAAAAATGTTTTTGTATGTTATCAGTGTAAAACTAGAGTAAGTGTAAGTCCTGTGGGCTACTTCTTTCATCTTCACTGATTTGTATTAATCCTCTGCTACCTGATGCTGTTGTTAACTTGTTGAGCTGGTACTGCATGCCTGGCTTATTCACTACCAACTTAATAGGACTTTGGAAGACTTTTAGGAATGTTCTGTAGCGATGGTTGCTAATTATATAATGGAGTGACAACAGCTAATGTAGACCAACATTTTTTCCAAAATCTATAGAATTACCCAAAGACCAAACTTACCTGAAGAATGTGGGGATAACTAATTATGTGAATTTGAGGCTGGGTTATTCTTGCATTTCCAGTGTATCTTTAAGAGAGTGAATGAGGAATAAAGGGAGCTGATAACTCTTAAAATACTGAGGACTTGACTTTGAACTGAAAGTAATTGCTTGACACCTATTGATTACTACAAAGGTGCTCACTACCTTTTGAAGAAATTACATTGAAGCATTATTAAAGAATGGTGTCTCTTCATGTTTTTTTAGTGTGTCTAGCAACATTAGACAAAATCTCACATCTTGATCAGATGCTTGAGAGTGTACAAGCATATTAAAAAATTTCTTGGTCTCTTGTAACTCAACATACAGGGTTGAAAGAGGTTTGCCTTTGACAGTGAATCTGAACTACAGGATTCCAAACTGAACCCACAAAATGTGAGAATGGATGTGTGTCCCTACTACATTTCTATTAAAAGGTTTTTTAAAAAAAAGTTAGAGTTAAAAAAAAAAAATGTTAGGTTTTAAAAGGGAGGTGTTTGTACAGCTGAAAAAGACTTTGCCTAAAGTTGGGTAATGTGAGTTGCACAGTAGTGTGGATAATTACCAAGGGTGGTGTTTCCCTCTGTCTTACTAGGGGACTTACTGCTAACTGAAGAGAAGGTGGAAAAACAGCTAAGATAGTAACATCAAGTTCCTTGAATAATTGTTTTAAGGCAAAGGCATTCTTGATGTAGTGCAGCCATAATGAGTGGTGCTGCTAACACCTCTGCACTGTTGGCAGCAAGATCCTGTATTACTTCTGTCATTGGGATATCCCAATGCAGAATGCTGGACTTTAATCAGACCATCTGCACAAATGTTTTGAGGGAAGGCAGATTCTGGGTCATGTGGCTTCAAGTAAGGCAGGCTTATCCCAAATCTTTAGAAATAATTCAAAAGAAGTAGTGTCTTGTCTTCAGATATAATACAGATGTGATCCCATACATAGCCTTGTTTAGCTCCGTTTCTTGACATTTATCTACCCCCATACACGTTCTACCTCTTTAATAGCATGAGACATTACTCTGTAGATGTAATAGTAATGAAATACTTTGACTGTCAGTGAATCTTCTTTTAACACTTGTGTTTGTGTGAGTCTATTAAGCTGTTCTTTGAACTAGCCAGAATTGATCATAAATTGGACATCTTACTCCCAGTCCTTGATGAGGTATACTGTTAGGACTTTATCTGAATAGAAAGTGCAAAACAAATCTGAAATTGGTGAACAATTTAAAATGAAGGAAAGAGATGGGTATTACACAAATTGCATTACAATTTCTAGTATAGGGTGCTGAAGGTGTTCCAGGAGCTTCGTGACAGGCATGCTGCTTACCTAAAGTTACTTGCGCTGTAACTTAGGCATAGTTCAGCTGTATCTGTAAGGTATGTAAGCAAGGTGGCAGATATAAAAAGGATTTATAGAATTGCCCTGTAACCTTCCTTCACTTTGATTACCTCACTGTTTGGCTTTTTTCTTTATGTCTGTGGGAGAAGTAAGACTTCTAAGTCCAGCTGGTTCTCAAGAAAGCAGTTGCAGAATGTGTGTCAAATGTGTGCAGCCACTTAGGTGGAAGGGTGGTTTCAAATGAGGCATGAATACAAACATAAAAAGTAGGGGCCCAAATTTTTACTTCTTGAGGTAAGCTGCTTATTCCCACAGCTTTTTGTGCATTGTATCTTGCTCAGAACATGCTTATGCTAAAGGATGGTGTTGCTTTCCTTGTAGAAGTGATGAAGGCTTTTAGAGTAGTTGCATCACTGAATATAATTCCTTGTTCTGATATAGCTTATTCCTGC